AAGATGTATAAAACCAGCCAAGCTACAGAACAAACCAACCGAGCTACAAGAAGGGCATTTCTTTGTGTCATCATCTGCTCAAACATGCACAGTTTGGTTTTCACTGAATCAGCTGATAGAGATGGAAATGTTTCAATAATGACCAAAGATGCTCTACACCACCTTTTAGAGAACAGCAAAGGTAAAAACGAACACACTCACCGCTTCCACATACATGCCAGTCTCTGCACTGCATAATTTGCAAGATTTACTATAATAACTGTTAAGAAAATATCGCTCGTCGTCACCGGCTTGATCTTCAATATCAGGATACATGTATTTATTATCCTTGCAAGAATGGAAGTAGTCATCACATACAGAGCTGCATGGGACAAATAGTTCCCAGAACAGTGTCCTTGACATGCTTATATACAAGAGAGGGTGTTACAGTCACAAGATGGAGGAATACCGGTTCAAAGCAGTATTCAATGTTTAGTTCAGATTAGCTAAGGCCTGCGTAAGCAATAAACATGACAGTCATATGCCTATCTCCAAAGAGGCTGAATCATCATGTTAATCACATAGCTATCATATGCCTAAAACAGTGTGTCCTGACGCTCTTCTAGGTAATCATACATCCTGTCAAGTACACAGCTACGTAGGGCCTTTGTTATCATGTGCTACTCTGATATTGGAGGAGTACATTCAGTATTTTCCCAACAATAACACAATTACAAACCTAGCTGTTTATAAACAACACATAGTAGAAAAGCCCCGGAGTAAATATACTACAACCTTGTAGTATTCGCTAACCCTAACCCTAACCCCTAACTTGTTAATTTGGTCAAATGCTTATTTAGTTCAGAGCGTGTACAAGGCAGCTATTCATTAGTTTAGTCGAGGCTCAAAGACACATCAAGGCCTGATGAATGGAAGTGGAATCTCATTAGCCTAGGATGTTTCATGTAATGAATAAATGAGAATCTCACTGCATTCATTTTTCAGTGTTGTCAGAGTAATAAGACGAAGTATTGTAACATTTTTGTGAGGAAGTGGGATAATATTTTAGGTTGAAGCCGCTTGTTCAAATCTTTAAAAACTAGAAATATGATTCCATTTCTCACTTTTGATGATTCCTAAAACAGCCTAACCCCGTTTCTGTAATGAGTTTTTTCGGCGGTGAAATTAGGATCTTTTGAGCAAATGATTCACATATTCCAGAAAGAGAAAAAGGTGACCATCTGGACGAGCGAGATTAGAAAGCGAGAAGAAAAACCATAGTTGGACTCTGCCACTGTCCGGCACTGTACATCAATGCTCTCTAAACCTGATGTAAAGGTGTCCCTCAGCAGGGGTCTCACTGACAGGCCCAACAATGAGGGGCCATCCAAGTGTGACACACTCGTGTTTCGAGGGACAGGTGGCAGCGCTGCTTAGTCCGAAAGGCCTTCCTCAATTTCTACTTGTAACGTCAGCTCCAATTTAGTCCGCTCTCACTTGTGCCTGGCTGCTGTCTGTCACTCTCATCATCTAGGATTAGCCTTGAGTTATTGATGCCTGCTTAATTATTATGAATAAACAGCCAAGTCTTAGTTTCTACGAACATAATATTACATAATACTAGAAATGTAACCTCATGAAGCTGAAAATAAACTACCGCAAGGATTGTTCTTCATTTTGATTATTGGTTCTTTATCTGTAGCAATCCTTATCATCATTATCCTCATCATCAAAATCGTCATTTTCAGTACAGTTAGCGCTGCTGTCATTAAACACTTCACAATAATAGTATTTGTCTTAGTTAGCTAGATGCCACCAATTCATGCATGTTTAATTGTCCTAAATGTGACAATAAATTTATTTGTTTGTCGCTGTACGATGTGCTGAGATGAGGTGACATTTTGGGGTCATGTTCCACAGTATGACCTCAAACGTCAGCATGTTTTTCAGACAAACATGGTCTCCTGCGAAGCTAGTCTGTATGGCATTTATCAGTTCTTTTTTATATCTGCAGCACTTTAAAATGTATATTTAGTTGTTTGACAGCTAAATGGAACATAACATACACAGTTGAGCAGTGTAATGTTTATGTTTTAGTGAAAAAAGAACCAGCACATCCAAATATACGACACACACTTTTTTGTGTGTGTGTGTGTGTGTGTGTGTGTGTGTGTGTGTGTGTGTGTGTGTGTGTGTGTGTGTGTGTGTGTGTGTGTGTGTGTGTGTGTGTGTGTGTGTGTGTGTGTGTGTGTGTGTGTGTGTGTGTGTGTGTGTGTGTGTGTGTGTGTGTGTGTGTGTGTGTGCGCGCATCTGTCCAGCTGTGCGGGGTTCAAACACTTGGCACAGCAGACAAAGAGCCGTGTGGCTGTTTGGAAACGTGCAGCACACACTAGACTAGAGAAGTCTTGCCTTTTCCTTTCCAACTCTTTTCCAAAGGACTCTGTTATATTACCATGCTGACTCAATTAAGGTACTTTAGTAGGTTATAATTAAGTTGGGAGTTTTCTCCTGGGCCAAGCCAGAGGCAGTCTTGCTGTACAAAGCCATGCAGTAAATTGAAGATGACTCTCAAGAAATATATTCTTTTTTTAATTTTGATGCTTTTTATAAGAGATCTGGTCTGTGCTCCCAGCGTTACAAATAGTCTTCTCCCTCAGCTGATTCTGCAACTATTGTCAAGAGTGTAGGATTCTGCAGAGCCTCTGTGCGCTACAAAGAGCAGCTGCTGAGTCACTACGTCAGGCTGTTGGTAGCTTGCTTAAGGCAACAGCAATAATAAAGTCTAGCTCTGTTTAAGAGATGCTTTCAGGCACAAATCCATGCAGTTTGCACCAAGCTTATTTACCAGTTGTTTTTTCGTTGATGTGGTCTATTTATGATTGTATGCACACATGATGGTTCTTTTTGATGACCTATAACCCCAATAACAATAAGATACTATCTCCTTTGTTATACGTAAAGGTTTCTTCCAGTAGAATCATAAAACTTTAAACACATTTACGCATATAAAAGATGCAAACTTATTCAGCTTCATGTAACTGTTAAAAAGTCTATTACTATGAATAATGTAATAACTATTCTCTTCCTTCACCTCATGTTGCATTCCTTGAATATCTTAGACTTGAGTTATCAAGGCACTTCCCAAATTAAATCATGCATGTTACACCATGTTACGCAACATGGAGAGAAAGCCACCTGGGACTCAAATTCAGTCAGAAATGTATTACATAAGCCACATTTGCCATCCCTACAATTTGGCAGGTCTAATGTCCCCCTAAAGGATGTTAATGTTGTGTATAAGAGGTAGAGTTTCCTCCTGACGAGCTGAAAACTGCCCATCCATCACTCCAAGGTCAGGTACCGTAAAAAAGGATAGGAGACGATCTCCCTGGAGTACACCGCTAAAAACCACAGGTCATCGAGGTGCTGAGCCAGAACAACCACTCATTTGTTTCGCAGCATATGGTCAGTGCATGGCAAGCGTGTCAGAATATTCCCGTAGTTCAAAACTGTTAAAGGAGAAAACAGTCATTGTTGGGTTTTATTATGATATCACAAATTCAGCCTGGCATGGTCTTTTTTTATGAGAATATTTTCTTACTCCCTGATCTAATTATGAATTACTCTCAGGATTAATGGTTCCGTTTGACATCAACTTTAGCAAATTGTACATTAGTTTGACTAGTAAAAAGAGGCCTTGATCATGTTTTTAACAATCACAAAGTAAACTAGTACACATTGCAGCCTGATGCTGTCATATACAGTCAAATGAGCCGGCTATATAACTAATGTGTTCTGGTAAACCAACCTTATTACCTTAATGGATCTCAAATTCCAATTGTATCAATAGTTGTTGTTTATAAACCATCCGTCAATATAGTATTGATTATTGTTCACTTAATATAGGCCAAGGTTAAATATAACCTCCTAAACGCACCACGGGTTCTACAGATTTGATGCAGTGTCTATTTATAGTCTGTGTATGACTGTGACCTCCGCTGCAGAGGTGAAGTGTTACAATTACTCATTTGAGATGAGAAGTCCTTGTGAGCACATCCAATATATTTTGTTATTTCCTCAGAAATCAATGGTTATTTTTGTCTTTCACGGAACCATTTTTCGAACTAAAGCTATCCTATTGATGTAATGGCATTATTCTTTATGTCCAGTTTTGTATAGAACATAAAGCAGGGTAAAGTGTTTGCCTGTATGCTAGGGCTGTGCGATTATGGCAAAAATCATAATCACGATTATTTTGGTCAATAATTGATATCACGATTATTAAATACGATTATTCATTGACTTTGAAAACATCCATTTATTGAACTTTTAAATACAAATAATAATTTGAACAGTATCTTTTTCACTGTTGATTTCCCTGAACGTATAATTCAACTGAAAAACCAATACAAAAATAAATGATACATAAATAATATCAAAATAATAAATACCAATAAACAAGATCAACAAATATTTTGGAGCGCACTTCAACAAGCTACTAAACATATATAAATATGATCAATACAAATACATTAGATCAAATATGTTGCAGTGCACTGTCACAACCTAGCAAAGCAAAATAATCGTTTTTTTCGATTATGTTGTTTTCGTAATTGTGGCAGGCCAAAATCGTAATTGCGATTAAAATACGATTAATTGCACAGCCCTACTGTATGCTATGCAAAGCCATATATGTCATCCTAGCTCAGTTCAACAATCTGACATCATTACAATTGATTAGAGTCACATAAAGAAAGTTGCTTGAATCATTTGTAAAAGCTACTATTCTTGATAATTGACACCCAAAAGATATATGGAAATTAGATTGCCAAGTTCTGGCCCCTAAATTGTTAGTTCAAGTAAATCATATTGAGTGTGTGAACGATAACATTTCATAGAATCAGCCCAATTTGGTTCAGTCTTGCCCTTATCCTTGAAATGTACATTGTTTTTTTTTAATGGAATGTAGGCTCTTTATTCCTTCAATACTTAACTAAAGCATTCTCTTTGTTCCTCTCCAGATGAGTCTCTCTTGGACTCCACACAACACCCTGTGGGATTTCGTGGACATGTTCCAAGTTCAACAGGGTTCCAACCATTGGCCTTACCAGCCTCACATCACACTGCCTTTGAGAGCCCAGACTCACCTGGTACCCTGCCATCCATTTCTGAACCAAACCATGAAGTTAGAACTGGTGGAGTGTCACGTTTTCAGTGGGGACGTGTTGCTTCTGAGAAATCCTTCACAGCAAGTGACCTCATTGCAGAAGAACCACACCCTCTTTCCAGTCCCTCATTAAGCCCCTCCGAACCCATATCGGGGTCTAGTTCGCAATTTGAATCACCAGCTAAACTCTCTTCGGACTGGAAGCTGGCCAGCACAAAGTCGGCCAAACAATCCTCCTCTCTCGCTCAGCCTCAGTCGAATATATCCACAGCGTCATTAAGCCCCTCTGCTCTCACAAGGTCGCCACCACCTCAGCTTGGTCTTAATTCTAAGCAGAAAGAAACCTTCAGCAAGCAGCAGGATGGTCCATCAGAGCAAACACTGGAAATCATGACCTCATTTCCTGCTCAGCCTCTCGAGCCCCTTAAACTGGCCTTCCCTGACTTTGTGGCAGACGATAGTAAAATACTGGATGTGAACCAGCTGAGCCCCAGTAGTTCCCCCTTAGAGGAGAGCGGACCGACACGTGACATTAACACGCTACCCAACCCAGATGAGGTTCTGGCCCCCGGCTACAATGTGCCTTTCATCGCCCCACACCTTGCGTCTCCTTCATCTGAACCCACTGAGATCTCTCCGGAGGAATTCTACCCCACCAACACCATGGACTTCGACTGGGGGTCTGGGGACTACTTGGAGACGATGTCATACCTAAACGCAGATGGGGAGGACTACGCTCTGGTCACCAAGGTGCCCGCTGACTCGTATGATCTAGAGGACTACACAGAAAGCTATGACACATCGTTTCCTTCAAGAGTGGGCATATTTCCTTCGTCCTTGAATCCTCTTCACGTCTCACCATCTTCGAGCTTCACGACAGCGTACCATACCATTGTCCCATTTCAATCCATACATCCTTCTTCTTCGTCCTCTACAATTCAAGACACACTGGACCCTACTCCTTCCGCAAACAGCGATATACCCGACGCATCGGACGTAGATTGGGGCGATACTTTCACGATTCAACCGACAGATGTCCTGTTGCCCGACATGAACAGCTTGGAGTATTACACCACTCAGTTGACCAAGGAGAACAGTTCAGACGCGGGAGCTGAACACAAAGGGAACGTTACCGTGGTTTCCATCAGCCCTACAGAACTCACACCCACAAACAGCATCACCAATGATACCAAATTAACTGAGGATGAGTCCTCTGGTGATCTGTCAGGATTTGAGCCTCAAAATGACTCAACCCCAGCACCAACCACAGAGCAGAGTCCTCAGCTGGTCAATGCCTCGGAGCCGTTTCTAGATCCTTCCATAACCCCAAGCCACTACTTTGATCCCTCTTCGGTCTGGGGTGGCGAGTCTACCACCGTTTGGCCTGCACAATCTCCAACTGTTGGCCTAACAGAATCCATGTTACCCAGTACAACGCCTCTGCTGCCAGATGATGTAATGTCTCCCTCCTCTCTGACAGATGTCCATTGGTTTGTTACAGAGCCGTACCCATCAGAAACCATTAACACCAGTTTTGTCTTAACTGCAACTATAGCCTTCTCCCCTGTTCCCACTGACCCTGCTGCCAACACTACAGAGGGTTCAACAGAATTAACTCCCCAAGACTCTCCTTTTACAACCGAACAAACTCTCAACATCACGTTAGAGTCAACTGAACCCACACCCAATGTCACTTTGGTCCCTCCAGTCCTGTTGGGGGATCAGGGGGTGACTGAAAATGGAGTTGACATCACAGCCACAATGACCTTGATCCCAACTAGCAGTGAAGCTAATACAGTCTCTACTGCACCCACGACCCCAACTGCCACCATTACTTCCCATCAAGCCTCGACTGGAGATCCTGCCACCACAGAAGCCTCAACCAGTGTCAACATCCCTTCTGTCACCACAAAGGCCCCAACTACAACACCAACATCTCGACAGTATCTCTGCAACCTCGAGAGGCCTGCTTATTTAGTTAAAATTGGTACGTTGGACTTTTAATTATGCTTTCTGTTATATTACAAAATTGTATTTGTGTAATCCACATGTATGATGAGTCCAAATTGTTGCGGAAATCTGTTATTTGGATTTGAAATGTACATTTGTCATAAATTGTAATGGGATTGTACCATGCTTATGCTTTCTTCTAAAGGTTTCCCTTTCGGGGCCACAGTTGGATATGCCAAATCTCAAGTGAGAGACATACTGAAAGGGGAATTCAACAAGTCTGTAGAGCTGCAGGTAAATCTATCTTAAGAATATTTTAATTACATTTTAATATAATACCATGCAATATGTTAGTTTTTGTTTGTCAATTAAAAAAGACATAAAAAAGCAACATAGGCACATTATAACGTAAAAGAGATCATATTAGAAACTAAAATGCTTCTGGATTGACTGTGGAGTAAGTAACATGTGTGTAAGTGTATGTGTGTGTACATTACAGCGGTGCAGTTGAACCACTAAGGCAGACCAATTCCTGAGTTTTTTTTATCAGTGGTTCTGTGATAAACAAACCACAATGTAGTCACATCAAGATCCACAAGCACACAATGACCTCTCAAAAACATCAGCTGCTTATGTAACACTTGTAGGTTAACTGACTGACTGACTGACTGATATGTCTATGTCATTTATTCCTGCTTTGTCTGTGGAGGTTGTGGACCCCCCACCAAAGTTTGTGTTTCGGGTGGTGTCTGGTCCAGTTGTGTACACAGCCATATCAGTCATCAACGCTCTGCGAAGGTCTGGGCGCCGCTTCCTGTCTGTGTCTCCCAACTGGGCGACACCAGACAGTAAATACCAAGTCCACACAGGTAAATGACCTTCCAACAAGCTGTCTTTAGTTGTCTGTTGTTTTTAAGCTTGAACTTGATCTAAACTCTCCTTTTCCCAACTCTGTGCAGTGCTGCAGTTTGTTCCTGCTCCCATAGATGTGCGCTACTGCAACTTCAGCGAAAGCATTGAGAAAGGCTTGACCATGGCCTTTGCAGAAATGCGGCGGCGCTCAAAGGAGTCAACCAACTTCACAGTGCACGTGAGTGAATATGCACCTTAATTAACCAGGGGCAGTTATGTATTTATATTTATTTATATTTATTTTATTTAAGCATTTCAAGGTAAGATGTCACCATTCTAGCACAAAGAAATAGTGAAGTTTAAAAATGTTTTAACCAAACTCCTGTTCACTCCCAGCACTTATCTCAGCATATTATACTTTTGTAATTTTAACAATGTTATTTGTGCCGGTGCATGTCTTAGCCAGGTCACTTAAATCTTAGTCTCAGTCCGTCACTAAATAACGAATGACAAACTGTTACTAAAGCTTTTATATTTAAGCGAGTTATTGGTTGCAAAAGCAAGAGAAAGCGTATATTATGATCTGAATCACTTCGTTTGGTTTGACAAAATCTGATCAATGCACAAAATATCCATCCATACCGGCATGGTAAGAAAAGTAGCCCAATTATCATGCTCCCCATTGTATTTGCTGGTTCTCTCTATCTGTTATCATGCCTAGAGCGCCTCAGTGGACTCCTTCCAACACAAAAGAGAGGCTTTTTCACTTTCAGACACCCCACATAGGACACTCATTTTTTACAAGCTTTATCCACAACCTCAGTTTTTGGTCCCTACACAGATGTAATAACCACAGGCTAGGGTTCAGGCACCTTCAAACTCAGCTCTTTCTCTACTTTACATTTTCCACACCAGTGATTCTCAATCTTAGTATCACTCATGAACAAAACCCCTGGATACTTCACTAGGATACTCATACTCTAAGGAGTTCATGCTCTAGTTGTTGAGTATTAAGGAAGCTTACTGTTTGCTAATAAAGAGCTTATTTGGCTATGTGGTTAGCTGGTTTCAATAGAGTTCTGGGTAATCCTATTACACTGATGCCTGTGTTACCGTCTTTTATTTGGAATAAATGTAAGGATTAAATCAAGCTTTATTGCAGGAGCTTGGAAATGTTTAATAAAAATCTAGCAAACTGCTACATTTTCTGTTCAACTTTCCGATCACAGAAGCCAATAATTCCAAGATTGGGAACTTCATTCAAACTATTTTATGAGACAAATAAACTTCCAAGAGACTCACGCAGGATGGAAAATGTTTTGTACTTTCCGTTCAGTAATCGTTCGTCTGCTGAACAGTACATCTCCGTCTAATTGTGTTTCAGATCATAAACATCACCATGGCAGCTCCGAAAAATCAGGAACAGCGGCTAGTGAGGCAGCCGGTGGACATAACGTTCACTGTGCGCGTCTCCAGGGGTTACCTGATGGGGTCAGAGGTCAGCAATGCCCTGATGAAGCTCACAATGGTGGAATTCAGCTATTACATGGGCTTTCCTGTACTGCAGATTGCTGAGCGTGAGTACCGCAGTGTAGTCTTTCTATATTTAAACTCCTTTCACTTCGTCATAAGTCACCTTTACTGTAATAACTCTTAAATCATTTTTTTTTTATAACAGCTTTCCATTATCCAGAGTTGAACACCAGCCACTTGCTTCGCTCCACCTGGGTTAGAACAGGTATCACGGTTTCACTTCTTGGCATAATTAAAGTTAACTCATCTACTTTAATTGAAAGGCTCCGTGTGCTGATACTCTGAATGATCTCTGTGCTTAGTGCTCATTGGTGTGCTGGACCAGAAAGTGAGTGAGAGGACCTTCCAAGCCAACATGGAGCGCCGGGTGGCCATGCTCCTCGGAGAGGCAACGGGATTAATCAGACGCGTTAAGAGAGCCACCCTTATAGGCAACAGCAGTGTCCAGGTACTGTACAATTACATTTATTCAACACTGTACTTAGCGGTTGTATTCACAGTTGCATAGCCTTAGTAGACGATATAAAGCAAAATGTAGCAAGCATCATCCGAAATGTAATTACTGTATTGTTTAGCCATTTAATGTCAGTGTTTGGGGAGGAAATGAAACCAGGGGAAATCATTTCACTTGAATAAAACATAACTAAGTCAAATGTAAGAGACATTAAAGAGGCCCTTTTTATGCCTTTGGGGTTTTCACTTCCCTGTAGTGTGTTATAAAGGTTTTTGTGCATGTAAATAATCATCAAGGCTAAAATCCCAAAGTTCCCTCCAGAGGGAGTTTCTCTCCTACACACTGAAACACATCCATTGGACTCCTTTATTTTTAACATAGTGACATCACTAGGTAACAATTGTATTGAAAAGTGCTCCATTACATTGTATGTGATAAGCTAAGGGATGGGACATCTCTTGACGGTTGACCAATCACAGCCCGCCAACTAACCAATCAGAGCAGACTGGGCTCTGGTTTCAGACAGAGGGTGAAAAGAGGTGCTGCAGCACAGGCAGTATGAGAGAAATAAAGAGCTTTTTGAACCCAAAAGCATGTAAACATGTCACAGTAGAGGAACACAATACTAATATGCACCTGAAAATGAGGATAAGAGGGCCTATTTCTCTATTTTAAAATATTGTCTGATTATTAGGAAACTAAGTGAAACAAGTAAATAAGTCCACTCTTACAGGCAGGCTCAACACTAAACCCTAAATTATTGTTGAGACAGTCATGGTAGTGTCTTTTCTTTGGAAATTACACAATATAAATTCCTTGTTTAATGTTGTGCTCATTACACAACACTTGTAAACTCTCTGACAGGAAGTTTGTTAATGGATTACTCGCTAAATCTTGAAAAAGCTCCCTTCCTTGTGCCATTTATATCATCATGATTCCCTGATGCAAGCTCTCTCTGACCACCTTCCCTGAGAACTGAGGGCTCATTATGTGAGCGCTGCAGCGTTAGAAACCTCCGAGCGCCCTACTGCTTTACTAATCAGTCACTAGCTTTTGTGGGTTCGCTCCGCACCTGCTCGACTCATCTCTGGGACAGGATAGGGCTCTGTCTCCATAGCAACAGCATCCCATTCATCCCAGGGGCTGGCCACTCGAAAGACCACAACCTCTCGAGCCCCTTGTTTCTTTCTCCTCTTCCTCGTTTCTCCGGTCCTGTTACTTGAGCTGCTAAGAGCAGATCAATTATTTATTGTTTCTCTTTCTCCTTCTGTGTCCTGCAGTTGTGATGATTAAGAGTTGTTGTTGTTGTTGTTGTTGTCAGGGTAGATATTATGGAGGGGGAGATACAAAGACAGATGAGGGTAAAATATTTAGAAATAAAAAGAGCAAGAAAAGCCAAACACTGAGAGAGAGGAGACTTGTTTTGGTAAGCGAGAGATGCGTATTCGAGCTGACCTCATGAAGTCTGAGCACATAGGGTGGTCTTCAAACAGGGGGGCTGTCAGAGTGATGAGGGTCAACCTTGGCTGAGTAGCTGCCTCACTCTTCCTGACCTTTTTGTCTCCTTAGTTGTTGTTTCCACAAAACAGCTGATCATTTTATGTAAAAGAGAGTGTGTCTTTGTGGTAATATTAGACATGTAATTTTAGGCTTTGGCATCCTTTTAAAATCATATATTTCCCAGTGATGAATATGTCAGAGAAACAATACTATGTGTTTGTTTTCTTTCTATCCTATTTTACATTTCAAAGACACTCATCTGTAAGTGTCTGTTGCAGATAATGAGAGTTTTGGTGACATAGACCGAACATGTGAAGAATCCTGTGTCTCACTCTATTGCACACACACACACACACACACACACACACACACACACACACACACACACACACACACACACACACACACACACACACACACACACACACACACACACACACACACACACACACACAGTATCAGTGTGGTGTTGTTCAATAACACACACATCCACGCTGCCGCCTTTCCACTCTAATAACCATGCATGGGCTGGATTAGCCCCTGGATGAGAGGACCAGCCCGAGCGTTTTTTCTGTGTCAGCCCAGCCATGACCCACGCTTTACTCTTTCCAGTAATGCAGACAGGAGACTGTGCTGCGCCTCAGGGCACCCAGAGGGAGACCACACACACACACACACACACACACACACACACACACACACACACACACACACACACACACACACACACACACACACACACACACAGGCAGGCTGATATATCATGATTGTGCTTTTTTAATAATTTGTGTTTGTTTATTAGTGCATGCAGATGTTTTTTGTCCATCCAAATAATAGCAGCACATCATGCAAAAGGATACAGACAAATACAATATGATATAAATAATACATTTGACTTATTTTGTCTGTACCTGAACGAAAAAGTCAATATAAATGGGCACTGTTTTTTCAAAGTAATTGTGTTTTTCCTTAGTCCTTCGTGTTAGATTGAATGAAATTATTTCTAGGACCTTATGTCAAATCTTGTGACTGATAGTTTGAATGTCTTAAAAGACTAAGTCAATGGGAGTCTGATTTTATTTTGTTAAATATAAGCTAAATTATAACAATAAAACACATCAGAGAACTGTCTTGTCTAGTTTATAATATATTTAAACGCAGGTATGGTTGCCAAATAGGAAATGCTGGTTATTGTCACAGAAAAAAAAATGCACTTTAAAGTTTGCCCTTGTAAGTGAGCCATCACACTCTCCATTAAAAAGTCATATTTTTAATTGGAATAAGCACGCTTGGGGCCTTCATCAGATATTCAATTTTTACTGATGAGAGTGCAGTGCCTCATCTTTCATTACTGGAAGCTCTTTTCCAGTTGCTTGCTTGCAGCATGAATTGATCGTAAATGCTGCAGAGAGAAAATATTTATAGTTTAACAAATGAGAATTTTGAAGTTAAAACAAGTTGCACAAGTAATGTTAATAATTATAGATTTGAACTGAAGCTCAACTAGTCTGCACCTTGTTGTGGATGTATTAAAAAAAGATGAACCATGGTGGTAAAAGTTAATCAACAGACATATAAAGACCTTTAACTGAGGATTTAAAGCCTCTCCCTAAGCAATGTGAATAAGTAATAAGATTTATTGAGTGTCCTTCAGACTTTTTCTACATCCGGATATGTTTATGTTTGGAAAATGACATAAGATGCCATAATGTCTGCCAACAGTTTGGAGTCACTAGTAGTCAGTAACCCTGATAATTGCCCCGTGTAAATGTATGACTGCCAAGTTATATAGCAACCTGGCATCCTTTCCACACACAAGACAATGTATCCTGAGGATTTTCTCCCACAAGAATCCACAATATACAGTGGACCTAAAGAAACTTTCCTCCATCATTTCACCAATTCATGCTTCTTGATTTTTTATTATGGGAAACGAAATCACTTTTATCACTTACAGAAATATTCACACTCCAATATTATAATACAAACAACTCAGGAGCTGGATAACAGGGTTCAGAGATGGAATCAAGATTCAAAGGCTTCATTGTCATATGCACGGTGTAGTTTTTTGCAAAATAAAACCCCCTAGATCCTCCAACAATGCAGCATACTATACTTAAGACATAAGAAAGTGCAAAAATTGTGAGAAAAAGAAATGAAATAGAATAGGATAAACAGTATATAAAATAGATGACTGCACAGTATTATACATACTGTATACTTGGCCTTACATCTTGTTTGGTGTAAGACATTTGTTAAAAAAATAAGATAATTGAAACTGTTATTGATTTAAAGGGATATGTACATCTTAAAAGAAAAAGAGGTAATTACACAAATGACACTACTTTTCTTCTCTTTCCCTTTCCCAGGTTGTTAGTGCGAGCCGGCTGGTGGGTGCGGACCATCCCTTGGAGATAGTGTACTTTGTGGAGGGTCCCAGTGGTGAGAGGATGCCTGCAGATCAAACAGCGGCCCTGCTCAACAGCCTGGACGTTCAAAGGGCCGCCATCGTCTTGGGATATCGTGTCCAGGGCATTTTGGCGCAGCGTGAGTATTTCTTGCATAGTAGATAAAGGCCGTTCCAAGGCAGCAGGGTGATGTGGTGATTACCAAGATGCCCCTTGACATGGACAATCTACATTCAAGCTTCCATGTCTGCAAGCATCTTACTGCCACTTTCCTGTGTGCTGGTATGGAGTTAAAATAAAGTTTGTCAGAAGTTGATTTGCTCTTTTTATGTGAAGGACAAAGCCAATGGCCTTTTCAAGGACTAGTTGCACTTAACTGAGCTAAAGAGGAGTTTAAACAGAGGGATGCAAATGAAAGAGAAAAAAAAGGATATATTTTTCACAAGCTCCTTATAAATGATAAACATGCTAACTGCTGGCTCCATGTGTTCCTCTGTGTTTATAGTCACTTTTGAGCTAATTACCTCCCCCTGTACACGCTGTACCAAGAGGGATGAAGGCCTAATGAGAGCCCCTCGAGGGAGTCCTGTCCCTGCGCCTACTGTGTTCTTCTTTCCCAGGGGACCAAATGAGTGTTAATTAAAACTAATGAAGGTCGGCATTAATGCAGCACGCCAACAATACTGCATGTTGAGCTTCTGTTGTTTAGCTTAGCATTCCCAAGTTTGTTTACAGGCTTAAAGGCAACAACGCCATATGCCTAAACAATATTGAACCAATTAAAATGACTCACTGGTGCATATTTGGGTTGAATGCCGTAAAAACCCCCTCCTTCTCTTCCTCCATCTCTTCCTCCATCTCTTGATCTGTAGCCATGGAGAAGGTGGCGTCCTCCCCCTCCGACGCTGAGAACACCAACACGTGGATCGTCATTGGCGTGGTGATTCCCCTCCTCGTGGTCATCGTCATCATTTCCATCCTGTACTGGAAACTGTGTCGCACAGACAAGCTGGAGTTCCAGCCAGACGCCATGACCTCCATCCAGCAGAGGCAGAAGGTAGAGTCCCACCAGGGTCTGACCTCAGGCCTGACTTCATCCTCTCAGGGTTTCAGATTTTTTGCTTTAAGTTCGTTCTTGAAATATGAAATTTGACAGTGATTGGCCCTGCAGTCCCTTGATGGATAACATCATCAGGGTTACACTTAAGGTGTTACATAAGGTTAAGTTAAGTAAATGGTCAAAACAGTTTCCCAAATATGACTGTGTTCAAAGAAGTTTTAAGGCAGCAGACAAAAAAAGCAAGGAAGAGGGAGCCATTTTTAAATTCCCATGAACTGCTTGTTAATGAGGTGTATCTGTCATTGCCATGAATGTGCTGTAGGACTGCGCACAATCTGGACCTCATCATTCCTTCTTTTTGATAGGATGACTAAAATATGAATGAGAAGGAGACTTATTAGAGGACATGAGCTGATTTGAAGTCATGATGCTCGTGCATGTAATGGGTCTTCTTGGCTGATCTTTTATTTTATTTCAAACGTTTTTGATGCTTTCTCACATACTGATTTTGTCGAAGCATCAACAACCCTGCCCTTCAGTTCCCCTTTGTCCTGATTTATTTTCAGTTTGTGATAGATACAAAACTTAACTTGAGATAGAATTGAAACCATTTGGCTGAGCAGGCGCTGTTTCCTGTCTTAGTATTTCTTCTCTCGTACTTTAAAGAATATGTCCTTTATGCTAAGAGCAAGTCTGTTAACTTTAAGAGAAACAGGGTCACGTTTAGAACAGAATAGAGTGCCTTTATTTGTATTCACACATTGTGCAACAGAATGTGCCATGCAGCCTTTGAAACATGCATGTAACACTCCACAGATGCATGTAGGCTCAAACACAACACACACACAGTAATCAAAATACATGATAAAAAAATAGTAGTTAAAGAAGTAGCATGTGAATAAATAAATACATATTTAAATAAATAAATAATCGTGACAATTAATAGAACAAATGAAGTCAATAAAGCCCTTACTTCTGCTTTTAAATATATTATTGCCTCTATACAGTTATTGCACATTCCCTTTTATAATTAAGCAATAGCTCACGACAGGCCGTGGTATATGGCCATTATATCACAGCTTCGCGTCGGGCCGAACCACGCCCCTTAACTGTGATATAATGGCCATATATCACGGCCTGTCGTGAGCTATTGCTTTTATAAAACGGTTACCAAGTGTGGCAATATGAAAGAAAAATACACACTCTAATTTAAATAGTTGTTATTAGTAAATAATGATGTTCAAAATAAAATAGTCCCTCCGTTGCCTTCTGCACGAAACATGCGAGGTGGTTGCTATGCAACAACACTAACAACAGCTAGCGAACATATTAGACAGAGAGCGTTGATCCATTATTTGGCTATTTATTTACATTAATGTGTATGTTGCCGTTTATTGTGCACCCACTGAAAAACTGTCCAGCATCAGCAGCATGGCTTACGTGGTTACTTGTATAGGCTGAGGTTGTTCTAGGCTGTTGCTTGGCGTGGCGAGAATATTGCTCCACTTTCTCCGGTCCCCGAGATTCGGCTTCCAGTAGCTCTGGAGAGAGGTTTCGCACCTGTGGCCACTAACGGTCATAATTTCTCTGCTTTGTTTCAAGACCCGCATCAGAAAGCTTTTGAATGGTGGTACTTTTCCAGTTGGTCTACCTGCTCTTCACGTAGCTCTACATGTCGTCGTTTAGGTGCTTTTTGTTCTGGAGATAGGCACTCGCACTCATCAATCCACTCCTCCATAGTAAGACCCACCCCCCCCCCCCCCCCCCGGAGGTCGAAGTTAATCTTAAATGTTTTTGCGGACCTTTTTGATTACAGATTTGAAAACATCGTTGCTTGCTTTAAAAGTAGCACAATTCATTATGTCAAACCTTGGAAAGTATCTAGATATCCCTGCCCTAATGCCAAAGGAACTGCACACTGAATATGTTTTTGCCGTTTGATGTCTATGTCTGGACCGCTGCGTAAAAAGGAGGGTTTCTGCTCCGTTACTTCTCCGCTGCTTTCTTGTTCCAGTCTGCCCAACTGTATACTGTTTTTCTCAGACGCGGAGGGATACTGAGTTGTTGTGAAAAGTAACTTACAATTCTACCCGTGGTATACGCTCAGTATATCACGGCTAAGAACCAATCAGATTGCTTGATTTGACTTGTCCGTTTTATAATATGCAATAACTGTGAAACAATATTATATTTCATATTTAATATACTAGAAAAGCAACCCCCAAAAAAGGGGTTTTAAAAGCCCAGATTTCATGCAGTGTTCTTTTTTCTATGTAAAATAAAACAATTCTGCAAATTCCTAATGTATGACGCAATAAAAAGTAGCTTTTATTTTTGATTGTAACATTTATATCAAGGTCAAATGCATAGGTGTGTGACATATCTACTGTGCTGCGCTGACCACCAACAATACCGGAGGGACTGTGGTACAGCAGTAACAGGAACCCATCCTGAGGAACAAACACCTGCATAGCTTTTTCTCAGCTGAAAAAGATGTGTGTCATATGTTAGGCTGCAACCAGCCTACTTTTGAGATGTGTGTGTGCTACTTCTGCTTCCTGACTCCTTTCATCGTTCTGTCTGTGTCTGGCTTTCACTTCCCTCCACTTCATGTGGAGCTGAGCTTTGAACTTCACTCTGTACATTGGGTTAATGTGATGAATCTAATGTGCAGATCTATCATTTAACACAATCATCTGTCACATAACACCGCTCCCCTTCTCTCAGTCTACTACCTCATTCGGAGAATCAAAGACCCCGCTTCACCACACTCTCCCTCCGTATAAAAAGCATATAGAGCTTAGTGAGGAGGAAGACTGGGAGTATGAGGACGAAGAAGAGGAGTATGAAGAAGAAGAGGAGGAGGAGGAAGAGGTTAAAAGAGGGAAGGTACATAGCAGTGTCTGGTGCTTTAGAGAAGATGTAGAAGAGACCTAGTTTGTGTGTGTGTCTGCTGTCTGAGCAGCTGACATGTTGTGCAGTTATATAAAGAACAACACTAGCTAATAGTTAGCAGAGTCTTTAGATATGTTTGAAATATAGACAAGCATCATCACTGGAAATATTGATGCTATCTACCATTGCTTCTGCTTAGACACCAGTAGCTCTTCCTAGACACACACTGAGTATGAGCACTAAGGAGGAAGAAGAAGAAGAAGAAGAAGAAGAGGAAGAAGAGTGTGAGGAAGAAGAAGAAGAAGAAGAAGAGGAGGACGACGAGGGGGAAGAAGAAGAAGAAGAAGAAGATGAGAAAAATACGCAATTTAAAACGAAAGCAGCAGATCAAAGAAGAGAAGAGAGCAAAGCAGTGCTAATGAAAACAGCAGAGACAAAAGAAGACAACAGGAAAGTGTTAACTCAAGGGAGGAGAGCCCAGGACGAGGTATATTGTTCAGTAGTGCTAGATGCTAGTGCTTGTGTGCGTTGATAGACAATAGGATCCTGCTTTACCCGGTTATGATGATGTCGAGACAGAAAACCCATTATTATACTGTGGATTTAGAAGTGGTGTGTTTATAGTATGTAGATCCTGACCCATCACTGTGTTGTGGAGTAGTAATAATAGACATCATTTTATACTGTTTGTTGGTTCCCTAATTTACTTTGAGACCCGAACCAAGCTGAGTACTGATTAGTGAGTGAGTGATATCGCTAGCTGTGTGTTTACATGTTGTTCTGCCAGAGTGGTCATTTTCAATTTAAGAGGCCCTTTTATGCTTTTGGGGGGTTTTCCCTTTCCTGTCGTGTGTTATAAAGGTTTTCCTGCATGTAAATGGTCTGCAAAGGCTAAAATCCCAAAGTTCCCTCCCCCCCTGCCTGAAACACCTCGATTGGACTCGTTTGTTTACTTCTATAACATAGTGACATCACTACTGTACGTAACGTCACTTTGTAACACTTGCGCTTCTATTGGCTAATGGTCATGTTAATGTGATGCATCGAACGCTCTAACACATTGTACTTGATAGGCTTAGGGGCGGGACATCTCTAAGCGTTTGACTAATCACATAAGAGCCGGCCAGCTAACCACTCAGAGCAGACTGGGCTCTGGTTTCAGACAAAGGGTGAACTTCAAAGCATGTAAACATGTCACAGTTGAGGCACAAAATACAAATATGAACCTGAACATTTGCATAACATGTTCTCTTGAACAGCTTCTACTGCAGTGTTTTCAGTGCTTTACTTAAGACTGGCCTTGTTTATATGCTGTAGAGAGCACAAACATAACACATTCACACACTCTCTGTCTCCCTGCCAGGATTAGCAGTTTCATACTGGCAAGCTGCAACCTAGATTAGCAGTTTCATACTGGCAAGCTGCAACCTAGATTAGCAGTTTTATACCAACAAGTCTCTGCTAAGCCAGACATTTTGCATGAATAAACTCAGCGAGTTTACGTCTAATTCAGAGCATTAACGGGAACACTTCACGTCACTCCTCTGCTCTCTGGTATACACATCTCAGTGTCACAAACTGCAAGCACACATACCGGGATCTGACATCCTCTGTTTACTCTATGGCTGTTGGAGTCCCGAGGGCTTTCCACTCTGATAGTCTCACTGATTCCATCGTCAGCCTTAATCCCCCCCCACCAACTCCATGGAGAGGAAGCAGCTCAGTGTTTCTCAATCCCTGTTTCTCAATTTCTTTTTCTCTATTCATTAATGTCTTGTCCTTTCTGAGTCATCCAGTCTAATTGTGTACTCAAAACTTCATCTGAACCCGTATTTGCTACAAAATATATATATATATATTATACACTATTAATATACACTAAAATATATAGATTTTGACGATGGACACAACATTACTGAATGTATTCCTGTCTTCTAGTAAATCTTAGTATTTGACACACCCTTGCTGACGTCTGTTACTTCTGTCTGTATGGCTTCCCACCTTTATATTTCCATTCCCTAATATTTCCTCTCGCTCTCCTTCTCCTCAGTTGCAGGCTCCCAGTGTGAAAGGCTTCGACTTTGCCAAGCTGCACCTTGGCCAGCAGAGTAAGGATGATGTCATGGTGATCCAGGAGGCGGTCCAGCCAGGGCCCGGCCCCGGACCCCTCCCCTTATGCTTTAAAGATGGCTTCAGTCCGTCTGAAAACGGGGAGATCCCCACACCTTTATCCAAAGCCTCCACCAAGGCGTCACGCAGCAGCAGAAGGCGAGATAGGTCAGTGCTGCAGAGCGACTCAAAAACCTTCAAAATTAGTCCAAATAAATGTCTAGAAATAAGGACATTAAATGACTTCAGTTTATGTCTGCGTAGGTTGTGCTGTCATGGGTTACATGCAAAGAAAAAAAGGGTAAAAAATAGTCTCTAAATAGGCATTACCAGCCTTTTATTGTGTAGTGCTTTCCCTTCTCCTGGTCAAAAACGTGTTTTAATCAAAGAAATGTGTTTTGGTTTTAGTTCTCCACCCTATAAAGGTATTTATTTACACATTTAACAGCTGCTTTTTTCACCCCATCACTCTGGTTTTCTACCTTCCTCAGTTGGGACAGTCAGTCAAGCAGACAAAAAGCTTCTGACAGATCCTCAGATCAATTATTAATGCACCAGACATTAAGGGTCCTTCATTTATTCCTGCAGACTGTCTATATCCCTTTCAATATAGTCAATAAAGATACCTTTTTTTGTTGTTGTCTGTATTTTTTCCCGGCCTATTTTTAAATATTTTAAACTGATTTTCACATACTGTACATACCCGGGTTTCAAGTTTTTGTAACTTTAGTTATAACACTAATTGCATCGCTTAAGAGATGACACCAACTCAGTAGCATGGAAGGTATTGTTTAATGCATTTCAAGTTTCTATTAAAGTCCATTACAGTAATCTGTTTTATGGTGAGGATTTAATAATGGTTCTTCCTCTTCTCTTGATAGCCAACCAGGACAAATGTTATAATTATCTCAGTGGAAACACTTTCCAGCATGCAGCACTACAAACTTAAAACCAAATTAGCATTTCCTAGAAGTCTCTTCTGCTTTTGTCTTTCTGAAAAAGCACTATTTACAATTATGCATGGGTATTTCCGCATGTTAGTGTATTCCCAGGCTTGTATTATTCATGTTACTATGTGTGTTTGTAGGATCTCTCCGTCTGACGGGGACTCGGTGGTAAGTGACCACTCCAGCGAGCGTGAATCGACAGAGGAGAACCTGAGAGCGCACGCCACGCACAGCGACAGAAAGCAGACGCATAAGCTCCCCATCAATGTTTTAAATGGCAAGTAGTAGCCGTAGCAACACTCTCATCACTCCTCCAAACACAGAGAGCACACACGAGGGGGGGGAAGGGGACGGAGGAAAGGATTGGGCGGACAAAAAGAGAGCAACTCAAGCTGGCCTGATTTGATTGACATGCGGGGCAAATAGAGGGCAGGGGTCACTCTCTAAAGAGATGAAAAAAAATGACGCAGAGGGGAAAGTGCGGCGACGAGCCAAGCAATGACATCAAAATTACAGAGGGGAACAGTGGGGGTAAAAAAAACACTTGGTGGGAACTCTAGTTGGTGGTCAAAAGAAGTCCAAAAAGAGGAGGCAGAGAGGGATAGGCGGGGAAAACCCAGATGAAGTTACTCCATGTGACAGCTTGTTGATAGACTCAAGCCTGCGATGCCAGTCAGGGACTAGGAGCTGGAGCCGGAGGCAGTCAGGCACACAGACTCCAGCCTGACTCACTCACAGAGGAATGGTCTCTGTTTTGTTATTGATAAAGCTCCGCCCGGCGCTGTATATGCTCTGCCACAGTGTTCATAAGGAGGCTGCGCATGAGACACACTCAGTGCTATGTAATGTCTCTTCCCGTCAGTGGATCCGTGTGTTTCTGATCCTCCGAAGCAGCTCTTTCCCTTCCTTTCCCTTCTTTCTGATTAATGAACTTCACAAGACCAGAAGCTTTTATTAGCCGCAGAAATTCATCCTCCTAGATGACTCACTTGCCCCGTCCCTCTTTAGAACGTCTGCTTCTCTTCTTCATTCTCCTCATTTGTTAAAGTTGAAACAGCTCTCATGGTGGGCAGACCTCAATTCATAAGGCTTTTTTAATGTTTATTGCTTCAAACCACTTCTATCTCAGCTGCTTTTATTTGATCTCCTTCTCCTCTATAAAACTATTTTTTTTTCCCTCTCTGCTGCGGTTTGCAGGCAAGAATAGAATTGGTAAGAGTTTGTCCTCTCTGTCTGTGTCCCTGCAGACCTCAGGCCTGACCTCCAGCAGCTGTGTCTGTGCTGTCTGTTTGTTTCTGTGCTAGATTCCTGCCTCACCATCCATCACTGTCTGATCAGCTGTCCGTCACAGTGTAGAGACCAACTTCACCAACAAAGGGAAAGTCCTTGTTTGGAATGAGGTTTAGCTTTTTCTGAATACTAATCAGTCTTCATTTCATTTCAACACCAGAAACATTTACTCCACACTGGAAACAACGTTTTCATTCCAATTCTTACGCAGTAGTTGTCTGTGTTTAGTCCCCTGGTTTAAGTCCCCATTAGCATTCGGACTGACCGTGTTTCCTGAGATTTGACCTTTACTTTCTTGCTTCCTTCCTCAGGTCCTCCTCCTATGAATGGCACAAACGAGCAGCTGTCCTCGGCCGCCATCTTTGAACACGTCGATCGGATGTCTCGCGCAGCAGATGCAAGCAGAAGACTCCCCAACAAAATCCAGCTCATCGCCATGCAGCCCATGGCCCTCCCCCCACTGCACAGCCCCCCCATCAACGGCAAACTGTCCGACCCAAACCAAATCAACAAAGAGGTTTGCTCTTCTTTTTTGGGCAACTTATCTTGATGAAAGAATCCAAAAGTATAAACATTAACATTATTATCGATGGTACTGAAGACACATGTTAAATACATGTTAAACCAGAGTGAACAGACCCCTGAAAAGTAGGCAACACTGTCTTCTGGTCCTTCTTCTTTATTACATAGAAAAGGTGACATTATTTTGAACCCCAAATTGGCTCCTTGTGAAGTACAGATGAATCAAAGACTTCAATGACTGTCATCGGTTTGATATAGGAGCAGATGACAGCGCTACAAGTCCTTTAGAATATATCATTCCCTAATTTACTGGTTGAAATGGACATAATATTATTCATCCTCTGATGCTGCTGTAGTTCTTGTGATTCTGTGTAATGTATGTACGCATGAACAATCGTCTAGCTGCTTAGTCGTAACTCATCTACTATGAGTCTTAATTGTGCCTATTTTGAGAATGCTGTCTAAAGAGGAAATTGTGTCCTCAGATCCAGGTGGCACTGAGGCACAAGTCCGAAATTGAGCACCATCGTAACAAGATCCGTCTGCGTGCCAAGAGGAAGGGCCACTATGACTTCCCTACCATGGATGAATCCACGAATGGCCACGGAGATGCTAAGGACCAGGATCGCATCTATCAGAAAGCTCAGACCCAGATCGATAAGATCCTGGACCCTGATGCCCAGACGCCCTCCTTCTTCATGGACTCAAAGAGAAGGTTTGGCTCATGTCACTTATTTAGTTCTATGGTGGAAAAGTTGATCTGTTTTTATTGATTTGTAGGACATTTTACATCCGGCCTGGCTTTCATGAATGGAATAATACCCATACAATAGATTCATTAATATTTGTCCATTTATCTGTCAGTGGTCGAGGGAGGCGCTCGCCCAAACAGAGGATGAAGGAGCAGCTGATCGGAGGCATGATGGAGGCAGACAAAGACCACCTCATCTCTGAAGACAATGATGCTGTGTACAGGAAGTGTCCTGGAGTCAACAATGTGGCCTACATAGTGAGTAGAACAGGAACACTTGTGTTTTTTAATCAGATAATGAAGATGAAATAAAATATCATGTAAAATAAGTTTGACTAAAATGACGGAAGAGCAAGAAAGGGCATTTTGATAAAGGCCTAAACAAAAATCTAGCTGAAAAAATGTAAAGAAAAAACATTTAGATGAATAGAATGGACTAAAAGTTGACTAAAAATAAAAAACTGCGTCAACTTAATCTGGACTAAAACGAAGGATAGAAACGACCTAAATGTGACGTTAGCATTTTCCTCCAAAAAGGTATTACTGAGACGAAATATAAAATAGCTGCCAAAATGGACACTGCATGGGAATCACCTCATGTGTACAATCCTACACCAACCCCAGACCCCTCTAACTGTCCGCAAATGTGTGTGTTGCAGTCGGACCCTGACCAAGGCCCAGGCTCCCCTCACAGCAGCTCCTCCCCCACCGATGACGTGTTCCTCGGCCCTGCTTGCTCTCCACCGGGCCATGCCCCTCCCCCGCCCCCCTACATGCCTCCACAGCCCTCCATCGAGGAGGCGCGGCAGCAGATGCACTCCCTGCTGGACGATGCCTTCGCCCTGGTGTCGCCCACCTCTCAGGGCAGCACGGCAGGCATCACTCTGCCCGGAGTCAACAGCAACCCCCCCCTCTCCAGCCCCCCGGGCAGGGGCCCCAGACCGTGGGGTCCGTCCTACCAAGCTCATGGCCCTTTCCCTGGTGTAAGTTGGTCTCCCCCTGTAGAGTCTTACATCTACAGGATATTAACCATTCAGTCAACATGAAATAATACTGAGTTCCTGTAGCACTGAACCAAATGATGTGTTAGCACCAGAGATTTAGCTTCTTTTTGCTAAATCAAGTATTGGTGAACTGTTCTGTCACTTCTAGGGACAAACTTAGAGAAATAACCTCCCTGTTTAAACTTCGTATATAAAAATAGTAAAACACTTAAGAGACAAATCTAAAATCATCTGTATTCACTCTCCTTCCTTTCCCAAGGTTTGTTCAGCTCAGCATGAAGCCTATAGCTTCAACTTTAATCGTGTCCTCTTAGCAAACTAATCAGTTAAGTATTCCTCCATCTGTCACCCCCATGAAGCTGCGACCTTACAACCCCCGTCAGCTTTCTACAACTCCTAAGTCTCTTCAGGAATATACGCTCACTCTGCATTAGCCCCTTTCTCTGCAGGCTGCTTTCAAAGACCGTACAGTCATACAAACCGCCCTGAAGGCTGCTGGAATAATAAGCTTGTTTTTATTCTTTAACTGTCGTAATTATTGAAGAGAGCAAATCAGCACAATACAAAGGCCGGTTTATGCAGCGCTGCGGTTTGTTAGCACATTAAGCCAGGAGTCCATAATACTGCACGTGTGCCGCACTCTGTTAATAGTGTTTTATGTTATGGGTGGAGCTGCCAAGAGACAGCGTAGATCTGTAGCATATCCCCTGCTTTGGAATCTAAGCTAAGGGGTAGCTTAAAACTGATCTGAAATGAAAATAGGATGTTCAGTGCCGTCAGGCATTCAATTCTGAAGGTAAAAAATTATGAGTTTTTTTTTAGAGATGGTAAAGTGTTATATTAGCTTTACGTAAAGGTTTAGGCCCATGAAATCACAACAAGAAGTGCAGTAAAACGTTTGCAAAACCTTTAATGAAAAAACAGAAGTGGTTGAATGTAATGAGGTATATTTATTAGGTACAATTGTAAAGTGACTTGTACTTTACTTAAGTATTTTCATTTGATGCTACTTTATGCTAAGGTGATTACCAGCTCCAACTTCACAAGCTGTGATGAGACATTAATGCACCAACAGTCACGGTCCCGTCATTTAATAAATATCATTATGTGCAACAAGTTGTTTTACTCTGAGTACTTTAGGTATATTTTGAAGCCAATACTTTTGTACTTTTCAATTTTATATTGCTACTTTTACTCAAGCTTAACATCTTAGTACTTCTTCCACCACAGAAAAACAGAAGTGTAGTATTTCATAGTTATGATGTTTAATAGTGATAAAACAAAACACTTCCCTATTCAGCCACACCTTACCAATCACTATGCTGGAAGTGCCTCATTTGCGTTCTTAAAATTCCTTCTTTATTGCATTTCACAGCTTTCAACGTACTGTACATGAATCACTGCTCTGCCTCTGACAGTCCAACACCGTGTTCATCCCCAGGTGACACGTATAGTGAGAGACTTCACTTTACAGTGATCAGTGGAGCCGTAAAAAGCCTTTTGCAGGTTCACTGCTTTAATATGCTATAAAAGGTCAGCTGAGAAGAAAAGAAGGATATCCAACAAGAGCATGCTTAGTCAAAACAACAATGTTTACTACAGTGTGTGAAAAGACCCCTCACTGCGTTGAACCTACTGCAGAAAACAAGCTCTCTTTGCTTTTATTGCAATATTTTGATCAGCTATATCTGGATACAGGATGCAGCCTTCGATGTACATACTTTTTGAATATTTTAGGAGTTGATTGTATTCGAGAGCCACAAAGATATTTTTCAGTTTTTGCCATTATTATTGTTACTGTCTCCTAAGCACTGTGTTTCTTCCCTTGCTTTCCCCAGAGGTTCACTGATCTGTCCCCTCCTCCAATCCAAGGCCTGATATCCAGGTTAGTAGAGTGGAGCATGGACATTGAGTATTCATGTATAAATTAATAATTAATATGCTTATGTGATGTTAAGTTCCTCCTTCACCAGAGGGATTCCTTATTGATCAGAACAGACTGATTTTAAGCACTTTAGCCGGGGCAATGTTTTCCTCTCAGCAGCACCCACTAAGTTGGGCCTCATGAATAGTGAAAGAGGAGTCCTCTCTACTTTATAGGATTAATGGATCAGGTACAAGCAGTGGTCCCGGAACTACCCCGAGACCCCATGTGGTCAAACTCATTATCACCAGCGGAAATGTGAGCACAGTGGAGCTGAAGTGTCATCAGCTGTCAGCCGCTCATGGTGGTCAATTGTGAAAAAGTTAAGACTATATCAGAGTCGAAATTCCGTTTATTGCCAGCTAGGACTTTACATGTACATACAGGGATTTTGCTTTGTGTATAACCACATCAAAACTGAAAGACAAAATAAAGTCAAAAGCAAATATAGAAATGTTATAAAACTATTTTGAAACCAGAAGAATGTGTACAAGAAATGTGAATATACAAACAAGTCAAATAAGTATATAAAACACCTGAATCTCCCTACAGGGATCAATAAAGGTTTATCTTATCGTATATGACATAATATAAAAAATATTTACAGAAAATTAAAAGTGGAAGACCTTTTCAGATTTAAAGTTGTCTAAGGAGATGCATGAGCTAAGTACAATGTTAAGTGATATTTTGTAATAGATGCGCTCAAAAACGTCTGTAAAATCCTGATGAGTTTGGAGCCTGTTGTTTGCATCAAATAGATCCGTCCTCTCTCTTTGGGACACATGTATTGTGCAATATCATCAAGTGTTAGTATGCTTCCACATAACTGTTCCTTCCTCTGGACAGGCTTTATTCATTTGGCAGTATGTGCTCAAATTTGAGTATTGTTTTTGATTTGTTATCAAATAAATACATTTCTCTGAGTAGCCTGAGTCGGACATGACATGGCTGGTTCCATGTTGTTGAACAAAACACCCTTTAGTGCTGGAAATGTTCTTATATCTCCCTTCTGGAATAAGAAGCACTGACATGACCGTACAACGTAAAGCCTGTTTACCAGCGGTGAAAGTGCTGTCAAATTCAAAATGATTGATGTCAAACCCCAAGGAAACATTGAGCTTTATCGAGCAGTTTAAAACATTTGCTGCAATTATTCATTATCTATAATGTGTTACATTATTTTTGAAGAATCCCAACAATTAAGAAAAGGTAAACACACATTTTAAAGTATTTTTTAACCTCTGACATTAATCTATAACAGTGGAATACTTTAAGTTTCTGTACCTTTAAACATACGTATTGCCTCTCCTTGTGTTGAGTTAGACACAGGCTTTCCTTATCATGAAGTATGAAATATGAAATTGAGACTGAAGCTGAGTAGAATTCCAATAAATCTGTCACAACACGTTTCATTAAATCACACAAATATGTCCCTTGTTTTTCAGGCAGGGCCTTGGCTCCAGCTACCTGCCACCAGGAGACACAGCAGGGCAGTGTGAGCCGCTCCCACCCGACAGCCTGTACTCCAGCAGGGGCCTCTACGCCGCCGAGCTGCCCTCATCTGCCAGACCCCGACCAGTGGGGGGGGGGTCCACAGGTATAGGTGGAAACTGCACATACACACAAACTGCTCTTAACCCAGGTTCATGCCTTCTCATTTGATTGGATTCAGATGTAAACAAAGCACCCATGGTGTACATCTGTCTAAACCTCAAAGACTTTAGGAATCAATGCTTAAAGGTTGAGAAATGTATAGATTGTTTTATTTCATCACTTCTGGATGTGGGCCACAGAGCTGTTCCCTAATACAAACGCATACTTCCAGCCCATGAACCTGTCAAAACGCCTTGTCTCTGTCTTAAATTATTAAAGGAGCTGGCGTGATGCTGCTGCCATCATGTGACTTGCGCTCAGAGAAATGGATTCTGGCATTGAGCAGAGACACAGAGTGCTTTCAGACTGTAGTGATTGCATCAAAGTATATTAAAGGGGCTGCTGAGGATTGAGTGTCTGGTTGTGTTGCTCTGACATTGTGTGTGTGTGTGTGTGTGTGTGTGTGTGTGTGTGTGTGTGTGTGTGTGTGTGTGTGTGTGTGTGTGTGTGTGTGTGTGTGTGTGTGTGTGTGTGTGTGTGTGTGTGTGTGTGTGTGTGTGTGTGTGTGTGTGTGTGTGTGTGTGTGTGTGTGTGTGTGTGTGTGTGTGTGTGTGTGTGTGTGTGTGTCTCTGTGTGTGTGTGTGTGTGTGTGTGTGTGTGTGTGTGTGTAGGCGCCCAGCTCCATCATCTCACACAGGTGGGATTGTCCAGTCGGATGAATGGTTACCCAGCGGGGGTCAGGCCCGCTCCGGGGCAGAACGGAGGCCTCGGCTGGAACCATTACCATGGCGACAATTACTCCAGGGCAGAGCCTGAGAAAGATTCAGTGAGTACATCGCAAATGTGTTTCTGTTAATACCGAGGTCTTGTCTTCTATCCATATCATACTGAAATAAAATGTATGTTTAATGTCAACAACTCCCAGAAAAAGCTGAGAAATCAACAGTGAACTGTTCCTAAGAACTATTGTTGTCTATGTACTCAACGTCTGTGTATAGCTTATTCCTCTGTGCCGTAAAACCTCCATGTTTGTTCAGAAATATTACAAACACAGCAAGTCTCACTGTTGCACTGCGGCCATTTTTTTTTAACATGAACATGAACATAGGTACTGTACTCTATTTTAAGTCAATCCCACATACATTGCCCTATTGATGTCAATTCTCTAGACTAGAGCACCAAATGTGTATCACTCCACTAAAGAAAGTAGTCCTGAACAAATGCTCTATCAGTTTTAAGTAGCGTTTGTTAAAAACTTTAAAACCCATTCATTTTAGGAAATAATGAAGCTTTTATGAACATTTTGATTTGAGTGTTTAACCCCATTAAATAAATAAGGGGAAGAAAGTTTGAAGTGTCTGTTTTTTAAAGTCTATTCTTCTAGTTCTCTCTTCTCTCACACTCTAGTTCTGTCTCTTGATATTTTCTTCTTCAATTTCCCCTCTTTCTCTTCTCTTCATCCTTCCTTCCTCACCTTCAGTTCCTGGACTGTCCTGACTACACGTCCTGCTCTATCTTCCAGACGCCCAGAGGTGGTATCAGGGAGCCCTCGGCGCCCCCTGTCCACCTGGACATCTCGGGGATGGACTACCTGTCAGCGCCCCTGGATACGTCTCCACCTAACCACTCCTCCGCCTCCCTGATCAAGGCCATCAGGGAGGAGCTGCTGCGCCTCTCCCAGAAGCAGGCCGCCGCGCCCAGCTACCACAGCTGAGCCTCCCGTCTGCAGCTCCACCAGTCACGCCACTGACCCCCCCCCCCTGCTCCGCATCACCTGACAATACTTCCCATGGAAGTTCCTGAGGGTGTACAGCAGAGAGATAGTCCTGCTAAACTGAAGTAGGGATTTCTCACTGAAGAACTGAATGACAGGATTGTTGACACGGCTCCTAAAGAAATAGGACTACAGAATCAGATAAACTGCAGCATGTCAAATCAGAGACAGTGTTATGAAGTGAACAATATGCTGGAACCTTCAAATGAGATGGCGTGTGTGTCCCTTAAGACAGTGGTTCCCAAACCTTTTTTCTATCATTGAGTATTCTGACGACTCCTGACTAATAGTATTTTGGACATTTCATGTTGTATTAATCACGCATAATAATTACAGTATGGAACAATTGTACAATTAGTTAAAAGTGAAAGCAATATCAGCAGGAAGTGAGTGTTGAACAAGTGTGAATAATATTGCCTCCGAGATGATTCCTGCTGGTTTTAAGAACGTTTAATACAATTCTCTGTATTATGTATTTCTTGGAATCATGCATACTTGGTTAGCTTCCTCTTTTTGGACAAATTCAGTATTTTCTTAGTCCCTGGTTGTTTTAACTACCTAGTTTATTCATTAATTACGCTGTTTAGCAGAGGAAGAGGAAAGGCACATTTAACAATAACAATTTGATTTATTTTTGGCACAGAAATGAATGAAAAGCAGAGACACAGGCCAACTGTTAGTTGAATTTAAAGTTGCTTTGTTAAGCTTTGGCGACCCCTAGTGGGGGACCCATGCCCAAAGACACAGTGTCATTTGAAGGATGCCTTTCATTTCTTAACCTACCATACAGGTATTTTGTTGTTTACCAAATGCAGGTCCTTAACCTCTTCATCACCATCGTGTACTACTTCCTGATTTCTGCCACAATGAGCCATTCTATGCCTTGACACTGTGATGTAGTTCAACTACTGTATGATCTACAGTAGGGTCAGAGATCACAGCCAGTTCAGACAGGGCGCCTATAGAGACTAATGACACTCATTAACACTATGTCGTTTTTACATACTTACTACAGTAGCACGATAGCAGTAGAGTTAGTCTGAGGTGATCTTTTTGTGATATAGTTTGTTGTGAACAGCTTTCAATCATGTTCCTTGCTTTTATTTATACTTAACAGCTACACAAGCAAGGAAAGAAATGGCCTTGAATTTGGAGCTACAGGCACACGTGTCATGAATATAGACTTTCAGTATGTATCGACTGTTAGGGTGTAATGATGTATTTGGTTGTAGTTGGATGCACTGTATGCAGACTACTGGGTACAGCTCAGGTTGTTCAAATTGAGATTTGCTTGCAGACAAATCAGCGACGGGACAGTTTGAAGAGTCACATTGAAGAACTGTTAATGAGGGACTTTCACAGAGACTTGTGGTGTGTTTTTACATGAACCTGTATTTACTATTTACTGAACCACATCTCTGGTTCATGCAGTATTTAACGTTTGCCTTTTTGTTAGCACAGGAAGCAGACAAGTGTACTTATTGTATTTGTTTTCATGTATGGTTTACTTCAACCAGTCCTGTTTATGTGCTTTTCACATTTCTTTGGATTCTTTGACCTTGCCTCATGTCATTTTGTTCACCTCAAATGTCTCTTAGTCATCGTACTGGTTGGAAATAATTACGTTTGTTTTTTTTACAAAACCCTCCCCTGACATGTTGTGATGTTTTGGGGCTTGAAGTGATATTTTATTTAAATAAAATGATGGAAATGATGGATTTTAAAAGCAGGGCTTTAGATTTCTTTTTTCAAAGTGTGTACCATATTTTGTGCTCGATTACAATTCTTCTGGTGTGACTTGAAATACTCTACAGTTTTCTACTTCCCATCCTTTTTAGTTTGAAATGTGATGTGCCTTTTGGACTCATCTTAACACAATAAGCACATCTCTTTATTTCCCCACATACTTTCCAAGGTCTTGTGATTACCAGCCTTGATTACATTTGATTTTAAATACATTAAGATGACATTTCATCCAGTTAATGCTGCATTTTCCGTGTATGGAGTTGCCTCTGATATGCAGGGAGATGGACTGTTTTTCATTTCACCTCTTCTGTCTGATGTCACCAACCTCACACTGTATGCCTCCACCTGCTGGTTCTGTACTGTAACAACAGCTCCTTCACTTGTTCTTTTTTTATAACTATTATTTTTGTTGGTGTTTTTTCATCTATTTCTACATTATGTATATTGTGAGTGGTATCTGTTGGCTGGCCCAACTTCACGTCTGATTGATGTTGCATGTTTATTATTGTATTTCTTTGCTTTGTTTTGCCGCATGCTGTTCCAAAATGTCTTGAAATACAAAAGAAACTTGTCCTCTGATTTTTTTTAAGTTCATTACTACAAGTCGATTTGATGTTGATTTCTATTTGTTATGAATTTGTTCTCACACATCACCATTACATTAGTTGACCTACCAGTGGCACCAGCATATTGTAATGAATTGATTAGTATTGATTTGAAGCCTAATAGTTCAAAGACGTCATGCACACATCATATTTCAGGTCAGTCATTCATTCTGTACCAAAGCACTATTGCAGGTGTTGTACTTACCACAAACAACCAGAAGGTGTCACTACAACACAAGAAAATCCACTGTATTCACAACAAAGACGGCTCCTTTGGCTGCGGATGATGTCACCATCTCTTGAGCATCTCTCTGTAAATCTCTGAAAAAACATTATTATATGTACTGTTTCTCACTATTACAGGAACTGTGATCATTTCTCAGAATAATGAAGGGTAATGTGTTTCATTTCTCTTTTTTTTTAAATAGTGTTTGGCGGGTGAATGATTCCATGTTGATCAGTAATGCTTCTGTTATACATTGGGTATGATATGGTGTGTTTCTTATGATAATTAGTCAGAAAATGCAAAAATAGGAACAGTGTGATGGCAATAACACACATTATAGATGTAAATAAATAAGCATGTTGAGTAAAATGTGCTCTGTTACCGAAGCATTTCCCCCAAACTAAGACACTTTGTTGTCAATCAATGTGATTAGAAGTCCTGTATTGAGTTTATGCTTCCCTACTGCTGAAGGAGTACTTCCTGTTTCTCTATATTGAGTTCTATCTCATCCCATCAGACACGTCTCCCCTCTAATCCCATCACAGGATCCAAAGCCACTGAATGTAGCAGCTAAACGGTCAGCAAAGCTCCTCCGCTCACTCTGCAGGGGGGGGGGGGGGGGCTGCTTTGCACTCGGCAAGGACAGCGCACTGCTTTTCACTTCCTGATTGTGTTTATATTGCCTTTAAATCAGAGAGCTTAATCTGGTGTGTGTTTAAACGACGAGAACTGTCAGTGCTAACTGCTAAGCTATTTAACTCTGGTTTCTTCTATGAGAATCCTGCGTGTGGGTCCTATACTGTAGCTTAAGATGCAATTTAACATAGTTTTTACATGTTATAATCTATTGTAAATCAGTGTAATTCCATAGTGAGCATCTTTGATATCAGGCTTTATCATCCCTTATATACATTCTGCTAATTTAAACTACATTTAATTGATTTATTACACTCTGCATACCATAAATGTTTCTTAAATGTGACGTGCCGTGTTGTGTCTGTCCTTGTAGATGCACTCCTGCTGTTAGCTCAGTGTCTTTTTCTCATTCTGTCTCTTTCGTGTCTCCTGCAGGGTTTAAGAGTGTACCATCCTGCCTGTCTGCCTGCCCCTGGCCCTCCTTGTGGGGTCTAACATCCCCACACACACACACACACACACACACACACACACACACACACACACACACAGACACACACACACACACAGACACACACACACACACACACACACACACACACACACACACACACACACACACACACACACACACACAGTAATCCTGTCTGTGTGCTGTCCCGGCCCAGCGTAGCACAACAAGAGCACACCCAGGAGTTAATCTGGATCATGAAGGTAATTACTGTCCGGGTGTCCAGCCTAAGAAGGGGGCAGGGAGTGGAGAGGGGGGGGGGGGGCACCTGTCCAGTGAGGGAGGAGTCAAGAAGGCTGCTCTAACCACTGACCTTGGAGACTACTCTGAGGGAGGGAGGGAGGGAGGAGAGAAACAGAGTGGGAGGCAGAGCAGATCCAGGCATTAGCATACTGACAGAGTTCCAGCACTGCAGATCTCTCTCTCTCTCTCTCTCTCTCTCTCTCTCTCTCTTTCTCTCTCTATCTCTCTCTATCTCTCTCTCTCTCTGTCTTCAGCCACCCTTTTTAGTCTGCCGCTGAAAGACAGGAAGACAAGGGAGAGCAGGGGGGAGGACAAGTGTGAAACAAAATCTTTTGACAGATGAGAAAGGAGGATATCTGCCTGTTCACTGATCCCTGCACAGAATTCAGAAGTGAGTAGACTGCCATCACATTGCCCTTCTGTGTGTGTGTGTGTGTGTGTGTGTGTGTGTGTGTGTGTGTGTGTGTGTGTGTGTGTGTGTGTGTGTGTGTGTGTGTGTGTGTGTGTGTGTGTGTGTGTGTGTGTGTGTGTGTGTGTGTGTGTGTGTGTGTCTCAGGGTGTTATGGATGCAAAAGGAAGAGTTTAGAAGCAGGCAGGGCAGTCTTTCCACACTGTTTGTTATTGTAACCAAGGTAAATCCATAGGGGTGGTGAGCTTGATGCAGTCTAGTTGCAGGCATTTATGTGCTGTTTCTACAGTGTGTGTGTGTGTGTGTGTGTGTGTGTGTGTGTGTGTGTGTGTGTGTGTGTGTGTGTGTGTGTAGACAAATACATTCCTGTGGGTTGATGACGAATGAATGAGCAAGTATTCCAGCGACATGCGGTGGCGTTACAGCTGTAACACTTTGGTGTCAGTGGCAGGATGTGGTCCTCCTTGTCTACCAGCATGGCTTTTTTTATTATGCAACGCTATGCATGCCGCACCGTTGCACAGCCCCAGAGTCGCTGCTTGTGAATCGATGTGAGCAGGATTGGTTGGCTCACAGAAACACTGCAGCAGCTGAGCATCCTCTGCTGCATCCAGCTATGGGCCAACTGGCACCGCTGTCACCGAGGGAGGTCACTTCTCCCTCCCAGAGGCTCAGCTGTGTGGACATTATAACAGGGGTTTGCAGTTTAAACAGCACTTTACTCATCTCATTTCTGCTGTTCTATCATCTTTTCCCTTTTAATTTCGACCACTTGCCCACTGGTGATGACGTCACTGCCCCCCCCCCCCCCCCCCCCCCCCACTCCCTCTCCTCTCTCCCATTACCACCTCCTTTGCTCCTTCTCTCAGTGCAGTACACTGTAATTGGGTCATTTACTCATTTCTCCTTCTGACGTTGGCGTTAAGGAACATAGTGAGAAGGGGGGATACAGGGTTGTGAGAACTTGATTTCCGAGCTGTAACAAAAGGTTGTGAGGTACATTTTGCCCACATGTGTATGCCAGGAGCAAACACTTCTGACGTAACAGAGAGGAGGAGTGGACCCCCAGCGTCCTCTGTTTTCATAACAGATGAGCAGAGGAGGCAGGAGTGAAGGTTAAAGAAGGCTAAAGAAAGAATATGATGGGGTGTTTTGTTTTGCCAGTGGCTGGTGCTGCCCTACTTGCTGCTGCATGACACAGAACTATGTTTTCCCCAAGGTGAGAAGAACCAAAAAAGTAAGGACATTTATCATGGAAGGAATATTTATAGATCTTTCCCAAATCAAGTCATTTTAAAATGAAGGTCAGTTTTTGATATTCTTTTTTTGTTGTTGAAGTGATTTACTTCATTTAGAAGTAATGGGATTTTTCAAAAGTAATTTTTTCCGATTATATAATTGTATTAAATGTAAGGTACATTTTCAAAAAATATGAAATGTTGCAAAAGTGAGATCTTTTTTTAAATCTTTTAAAATCTTTTTAAATAGGACAGTTTTGAAAAGATTATTCAAAAGAAAATCAAGGTAGGTCGCTTACACAAACTCTCTCTCCTGTCGCCAGCGGTGATCTCTGTCCTCATGGTCACACAGTTTGTCTCCCCCCCCCCCCCCACCAGGCTCTACTGTACCAGGGGACACAGAGACATATTGTGCTGCGCTGTGTGGAGGAGGCAGCTCTCATGTGATAGGGAGGTGAATAGCTGTCATTCATAAGAGGCTGTCCGTTTGCTCGGCAGCTGACCGCCGCTCTGACTTCAGACACTGATCCTGCAGTCAGCTGCTGTCGGCCCCCTGCCCCAGCACCCCTGCGGCCCCCTGCCCCAGCACCCCTGCGCCCCCCCCCGGTCACAGGGTCGGGCATCAGACATGTTTTATGTGCTGCGATAAGAGGTGTGGTGGAGTGGGGTTAAATCTAATTGAATGAATAACATATCTAAGTAGAGATGATAACCAATGTGGTTTTTCATGTTGTTTAGCCTTTGGTCCTTTATCAAACTTTTCTTGAAATGTTTTTGGTATCTGATATGGACAGAAACCAGAGATATATGAGGAAGCTTCATTATCTTCGCCTAGTATGAGCCTGTGGGGAAATCATGTGTTTGGTAGTGTGCGTGTTTACTTGCACATTCTACTGGAATCGTCAGCCTATTCTTTTTTTTTACTTTTCTTATAATTGTATGCTCAAGGACCTCTCGTGGTCGCAGTGATTCCAAACTTTTTTTACTGTCCATTTACTGCTTACTCTTTATCAGAATCAGAATACCTTTATTAGTCCCACAGAGGGGACATTTGCATTGTTACAGCAGGAAAGAGCCACAGACAGCTTAATGTTACATACTGTACGTTAAAA